TACCATGGCCAAAAGAAACTTGAGGAAGAAAGGGTTGATTTCTGCTTACAACTCTTTTTTTTTTTTCGAGACAGGGTTTCTCTGTGTAGCTTTGCGCCTTTCCTGGAACTCACTTTGGAGACCAGGCTGACCTTGAACTCACAGAGATCCGCCTGCTTTTGCCTCCCAAGTGCTGGGATTAAAGGCATGTGCCACCACCGCCCGGCCTGCTTACAACTCTTAGGCTACACTCTATCACTGAGAGAAGTCAGGGTAGGAACTCAAGGCAGGAACCCAAGCAGCGACCATAGAGGAACTGTGTTTACTGGCTTACTCATCCTGTTTTGCTTCGTTGGCCTTCTTATGCCATTTAGGACCACCTTGCCCACTGTGGGCTGGGCCCTACTACATCCATTATCAACCAAGAAAAAGGCAGTACAGGCTTGTCTACAGGCAAATCTTATGGATGCATTTGCTCAATTGAGACTCCCTCTTCCTAAATGACTCTATCTGTGCCAAGTTGTAAAAAGACACACTGAGTAATTAATAAGTGATAGAATCTATTGAGCTCATGGTTCTGGAGGCAAGGAAGGTGAAGAGTTTGGTACGAGGTTCTGGTAATGAACTTCCTACGGCATCCAAACGTGGCAGAGGGCAGCATAGAGTGATGCCAGTACAAGTCGTCCTTCCTCTTCTTAAAAAGCCACTAATACTGTCAGGGGGCCCCACCTTCCTGACCCTCATCTGATCCCAACAGTCTTCCATATGACCCTCCTCTGAATGCATTAACATATGGCTCTGGGAATTAAGTGTCCAACATACTTTTAGAAGGGACAGATTCAACCTTTAGCATTCTTTTCCCAGGCCTGACTTGCTTCTGCTTCTCTCTGTCTAACTTCATCACTCCTATGACCTCAGTTACCCCTGGGTACCAGAGTCCTCCTAGACACATCTTCAGGCCCACACCCCCGTCTCCCCTTTATGGGATTGCTCATGGTGCTCCATCTAACATGGCTCTTCATCTGCACCAAGCACTTGCGTCGGTGCCATCCCCGGGACACCTCCATCCTTTAGCTTGAGCTTCCAAGTGTTTCAGTCCTGCGCCTCTCCATCCAGTGGGTCCCAGCGCTTCCAGAGGGGGCTTTCTAGCCATGTTCCTGCCATGGCTCTCTCTCTTTTTGTTGTTATTTTTCTTTGGTTGTTTTGTTTTGGTTTTTATGAGACAGGGTTTCTCTGTAGCCCTGACTGTCCTGGAACTTTCTCTGTAGACCAGGCTGGCTATGAACTCAGAGTTCTGTCTGCCTCTGCCTCCGAGGTGCTGGGATTAAAGGCATGCGCCATCACTGCCCGGCCAGGCCCTCTCTTGATATACACACTTATTGACTCTTTGCCACCCATAAGTAACCTCCCAGATCTTCAGCCTGTCAATCAAGGTCCTCCTGAGACTATTCTGAACAACCCCCTCAACACTTCTCACCCCATTCCCTAACAACAGTGGGTGTCTGACATGCCCGCAGTCAGGTTCCTTCATGCTGATAACTGGCAACACTCTCCCCTAGCCCGCTCACACTCCAGGATCAGGGTTGGTGATTTTTAGATGCTGTCCTAGTGGCGTCTATCTGACCTGCAGCCTAGGAACTCTGTGAAAGCTGGGGTACACACCAGCCTCCTCTCTGTGTCCCCAGACCCTAATGTCTGCTATCCAGACCTAGAAGTTGCCCGGGATCTGTGAAGTTCATGACAGAAAACATGTAATCAGTTATACAGAGATAGCCACAAATAATTTCAGCACTTACTGTGAACCAGATAGTTTTCAGAAGTCATTAGCTCATTCAATCCTTACCAAAGATATTGCTATTAGCATACTGGTTAGAAATAGGAAAATAAGAAGTGCAGAATTTGAACAATGTACCCAAATCCTTTAAGAAGCACATGATGAAACCAGTATTCAAAGCTAGAGTGTTCACACACTTCACCATTAGACACACAGCCTCTTTAGTATCCATCTTCCATGGTAAAACCAGCTCCATCAACACATGGCATCCAATCCAGGGCTTTGTGTGTACTAGGTGTGCTGGATAGTACTATGTTAACCTGACCCAACCTGAAGTCATTTGCAAGGAGGGAGCCTCAATTAAGAAAAATGTCTCAGCCGGGCGGTGGTGGTGCACGCCTTTAATCCCAGCACTCGGGAGGCAGAGGCCGGCGGATCTCTGTGAGTTCGAGGCCAGCCTGGGCTACCAAGTGAGTTCCAGGAAAGGCGCAAAGCTACACAGAGAAATCCTGTCTCGAAAAACTAAAAAGAAAAAAAAAAAGAAAGAAAAAAAAAAGAAAAGTGTCTCAATAAGCTCAGACTTTAGGCAAGCCTATAGGGCATTTTTTTCTTAATTGGTTATTGATGTTGGAGGGCCGAGCTGTTGTGGGTGGGGCCATGCCTGGGCTGATGGTCCTATGTTCTATAAGAAAGCAGGCTGAGCAAGCCATAGGGAGCAAGCCAGTAAGCAGCACCCTTCCATGGCCTCTGCATCAGCTCCTGCCTCCAGGTTCCTGTCTTGTTTGAGTTCCTGTCCTGACTTCCTTTGACAATGAACTGTGATGGGGAAGTGTAAGCCAAGTAAACAACCCCCCTCCAACTTGCTTTGGTCATGGTGTTTCATCACAACAATCGGTAACTAAGACACTAGGTAAGCTCTCTACCAACATAGCTACATCCCCAGTCCCCATTTTCTGACTTGTTGCAACTCCACACCAGAGATTCCATTGTGGCTATCTGTGAAAATGTGCAGATCACTTATCTCTACCCTAGTTTTTGTTTGTTTGTTTGTTTTTTTGGTCGTTTGTTTGGTTGGCTTTTCTTTTTCTTTTTTTCTCTTTCTCTCCCTTTTTAGTTTCAAATATCGCTTTCTATGGGCCCCCATGATCCCTCATGGAAGCAGAAGACCTTATTTCTCTTATCACCTGAAAACCAGAGCATCAGACACTTTTCCCCAAGACCTATTTATCTTCAACTGGCCCTACTCTTTCCTCTTAAGTCTCTCCCAAGGAGACAGATGCCCTTTCCTGCCCAGTTAGTCCCCCAGCTGACAAAGCTCTGGATTCTAAACCTTGCTTTCACTAAAACAGTCTTGTTTTCTTCCTTTCTTTCTTTTGTGTGTGTGTGTGTGTGTGTGTGTGTGTGTGTGTGTGTGTGTGCGTGTGTGTGTATATGTGGGTTTACAGATGCATGTGCATGTATGTAGAAACCAGAGCGTCAGTGACTTCCTTAACGGTTCTCCCCTTTACTTCTGGAAATGAACCCACTCCCTAAACATGGAGCTAGGTTAGTTAACCAGGGAGCTGAGGGAGCCTCCAGCCTCACTCTGAGCAGCAATCATAGTCATTCAGTGCTATGCTGTGCTTTGGCCTGGATGCTGGTGACTGAATGCAGCCTCACTTGAAAAACAAGCACCATCAGATGGAGCCATCTCCCCAGCCCTAACTCACTTACTTTGGCCTGTGGTAGCCGAACTTCAATGATGCCCCCAGTGCCATCAAACAATACTGGCCCCCTCACCACCATCGTCAAAATGATTGTCCTGGTCATGCACAGCCTGGAACTATCCTGCTGTTGGGAAGCCCAAGCTAGCCATGTGGAGGGGTGATGCTTACCAGTCCCCTGCTGTCCCAGCCACCCAGCCAAGATGTCAGGCATGCAAATGAAGGAGCCATCTTATTCCCAGGGAACTATTAAGACCTCTTACAACCAGAGCCATCTCCTGCATTGGGGGCCACCCCAACAGAGGCCTAGACAGCACAGAACAGAGACAAAAGAACCAAGCCCTTGTGCTGTGTCAGAATTCCAGACACATCAAATGTCATGTGTCATGCTCTCCCTTTGTGTTTTAAGGTGGTTTCTCCCTGAGACAGTTGATGGATTTTTCTTTACTGACTTGTCATCATTCAGTATGCACAAACGGCTTCTATTCCAGAAAGTGAGGACTGCATGGGGCAGGAGAGGGCAAGGGAGATTGGGGGATGGATAAAAGTGGAAAAGGAGATCAGTCCCCAGCAGCCGACCAACAGGTGAGAGACCTTCAGGCAGGCTACACCACCACCCCGGACACCCACTGGATCTGTAACCTCTATGACCCACTCTGCCACCCAAACCCACCGACCCCATCATCCTCCCCTTGGCTTAATCATCCATCACAACATCAGCAGCCCCAAGCACCACATACTTCAGTCGGAAGAGCAGCAGACCCTATAGGCACAACCCACACCAGCTGGAAGAACAGCAGCCCCTACAGACACAAGCACCACCTTCACCAGTTGGAAGAACAGACTCCATAGGCACAAGGAAAGCCCACACCAGACAGAAGAACTGGACAATACGCTGCGTTTGGGCACCCCAACCCCCACAAACCTCATCTGAGACAACCCTACTGGACCTGAGGACCAGCCAATCACCAGAACCCTTGGCCATTCAGGCCAAAAGACAATAAAGGAACAAAAGACCCATCCAACAAAGACATCACAAGAAGCAACACCTGTTCCTATAGTTGTCCCAAACCCAGATGGGTAAACTGCAGTGTAAGAATACATTCAACAACATAAAGAACAATATGGCACCACCAGAACCTAGTGTTTCTATAACAGCTAGACCTGAACATCCCAATGCAGATGAAACAGAAGAAAATAACTTTAAAATAACTATATGAAGATGATAGAGGCCCTTAAAGAGGAAATGAAAAATTTCCTTCAAGATATTGAGGAAAAGACAAACAAAAAAGTTGGAAGAAATCAATAAATCCCTTAAAGAAAGCCAAGAAAAACCAATCAAACAGGTGAAGGAAACAGTTCCTGCCTCTGCCTCCTGAGTGGCAGCCAGCACTCTTAACTACTGGGTCATCTCTCCAGGCCAGAGCCTTCGCTTTCTTCCTCTTCTTTTTGGTAAGTGTTGATGGTCCCCAGCCTCGTACACCCCACTCTCTTCTGTGAGTCGAGTTCTCCCCCACTCCCACACTGAGCAGAACCACACCTACCCTTCCCAGGGGTCCTGTTGAGCCGATGAACACATCCATAGACCCTCCCTACACATCAGTATTTGACATGTCAGTGTCTTCACAGGGTCCCACACCGTAGCTCCGTCTCCTTGAGAGGCCTCCCTCGGCCGGCTCCTCCAGCAAGCCTCTGTGTTCTGGGCTAACTGCAGATTCTCTTTCCCCGTCATAGCCAGCTCATCTCTCCACTGCTCTGTTAGGTGGTTTTTGTTGTTATTGTTGTTATTTTATTTTTGTCTTTTTGCCGGGGACGGAGGTGGTCACAGAGAGGGTCCTCCTGCCTCTACCTCTCTGATGATGAAATTACAACTTCGGACAACTATGCTCAGTTGAGTTCTGCCATCCGTAAGTGTTAGGAGTTGGCTATCGGCCCCTTCTCTTCGGGCTGCTAGGCTGGTCTCATTCTGAGCTCAGCACACCTTCTGTGTAGCTGCTACACTTGTGGTTTCATTTTGTTACGTTCACGTATTTGTCTCACATGGAATTTGTCCTGGTATGAAGTTTAAGATGTGACTCCAACTTTTTACTTCTCCAGTTTCCCTGACTTCATTTCTTGAATAAAACATTTTCACACTCAGTTTGAAATGGTGTATTACCTTAGGCTAAGTTCCCATGTGTAAGTTCTGGGTTTATTTGCACTGCTAGGCCTCCCAGCATTTCCTTGTTGCTGTGTTTGATATTGACAGGTAGCTAAGTCCCCTCCTGGCTGCCCCCATTCCAGCTATGTCCTAGCTACTCTCCCTGTCAAGGACTGTGACGAGTTCGTGGGTTTTTCTCTTTTTGGAGACAACAGATCAACTTGCCCTGTTTCCTAGGTTCTGGCAGAAGGTACAGGAGACAGCGCTTTAATCAAGGCTGAGGAGGTGGCTCCGTGGGTAAAAGGGCCTGCCTTGCAAATACGAAGACCTAAGTTCGAATCCTCAGGACCCACATAAAAGCTGGGTACTACGGTAGCACCCATTTGTAATTCCAGACTGCAGGGAGATGGGAGGTAGAAATAGGAATCTCTCCAGGAACTTGCAAACCAGCAAGCCTGCCATTCACAGCAGCAAAACAGCAAAGGGGAGCCTGTCTCAGACAAGGTAGCATGGAGGACTGACATCTGAAGTTGCCCTTTGCCTTCTGCACGTATATACACACGCACAGGGGGAGTGTGGGAATGCACACATGGGGGATGCTTTATTATTCATATCAGCAGCAGTGGTCAGAGTAGCAACATGTGTGGTGGTTACGTGAGCTTCTCATTTGTGGTGGTCACGTGAGTCCCGGGTGCCACAGCAGAGATGAAGAGGCTGTATAGGCAGTGGTTATGATAGCAAGGGACAGTCTTGAGATGAGTGGAGTCAAATCTATTTCCACTAGATATCTGATCTCTACCCCGGGGTGGTTGCGGGGGGCGGGGGGGTGGGGAGCATTACCTGTATCCTGTGGGCAGTATGCAAATTTCTCTCCACGTCTGAGGACCACACTCTCTGTGGCCATGCATGCTCCTTGCAGTTTGGAGTAGGCTCTGCTCAGCCAAAGCAGCAACATAAGGAGTCCATGGAGAACTGTCTGGATACTTATTTATTTTTCCATAGGAACGCTAGAATCAGTTTGTCTAAACACTGACAACAAAGGCTTGGTTTCTATCGAGACTCTTATTAAATTCTGAATCATCTGAGGGAAAACAGACAATTTCACGATGTTCGTTTTCATGTCCAAGAACATTATTCAAATGCTTCTTGTTGCTTGGAAGCATTTTAATACCTCCTCTGCTTAGATCTTGCACGTTGCTTCTTATGTTTATTCCTAGGTTTTTTCATCTTTTTCGCTGTGGCTATAAATGTTTTCCGTTCCCATTTTATCTTCTAACGGGCTGCCATTGAGTCTTGCTCTTTAAATGAATGCTTTTCCTCCGAGGTCCCTCCTCGACTTTCTTCCTTTCCTCCTCAAGATTTCCCAGGATGATCTTGTTCTCGCCCAAGCCTTCCTGAGCATCTGCCAGCTGATGCCTCCGGATCGTCATCCCTACCCTGCGCTCTCCCAGGAGCTCCTCCTGCAGATGTCATACTTGCCTCATGAGCACTCCGAGCTTTGAAATGAAACTCTCAGTCTTATTCCCAAACCAGCTACTTGGGCCATGCACCAGGCTCTGCCCACAACATGCCAGGAAGCAGTGGGCAAGGCAGTATGTGAACAAAGACATGTGGCCCACAGGCTTTGGTGCAACCCAGAGCAAAGCCTAGGGTACTCTGAGACTGGGGTGAGAGGGGACATGTTGAATATGAAGGGAGCATGGGAGGTCTGGATAGGCTTTCTCAGGACAAACAAGCCAAGTTAAAGTTGCGGGGAGGGCCATCCAGACCTAGGGTACAGCGTGAGCAGGGCACAGAGAGGTGAGTGTGCTAGGCACAGTGGGCCCCGCTGGCCACCAAGCATAAAACTCACAGGAATGGGCTTGCACATTGAGTGTTGCATGTCACGTTTGGTATTTCAAATACACACAAGCGAGGCTAGGTTTGAGTGCAAAGAGCCTGTAACTGGTGAACCCTGCTAAGACAGCCGACTGTGCAGGCCAAGGGTGCCACCAACCGAACCAAAATGCAAGCCTCCTGGGAGAAGCAAGTGCAGAAACATTAGCGAGGTCTAGCTGGAAGGACCAGATATAGAGCATGCACAGGGAGGCACAAGGGTGGCTCCAGATACAGAGCAGGTTGGTAAAAAGTGAAACCCAATCGAGGCCAGGGCCAGTAGAACAAGCAGTAGCTGATGCAGGGCTAAGAAGCTCAGGGTGGACTGAGCACCTGCTCTGGGCAAGGCCCCCTGGTCAGTTCTTTGAGTGAATCTCCTCAATGAATGCTCAGCTAGTAGCGCTCGAAGCAGGCAGTGTACTGCCCACCTAGAGGAGGGAGCTGAGGTGCAAAGAGCAGTTGCTTGCTCGAGGCCATAGTAAGAAAGCAAGAGAGCTGGGATGGAGCCCAGGCCTAACCTTTTTGTCACCCCATCTTATCCACTCAACTCTGGATGTTGTGAAAGGCAGTGACCTCTCAGACGTCCCATGAGAGAAGGCAGAGTTGGATGTCATCTCTTAGGTGACAAGAGCCCTTAAGTGCGTGAGGATGTGGCCGGGCTGATGGTGCTGTGGAGAGAAGATATCCACCTGGCTTTCCACGTGCAGCTCCTGTGGCGGCTTTAGCCATTGACCTTTCTCCGTGAACCAGGGCTCCTCTGCAGAACAGAGGCCAAATTGAGTCATATCAGGGGAGACACTCTCTGATGGGTGCAAGCCAAATAGCACCTCGTTTTCCTGGATGCAAAGAATACTTCACAGTCTCCTCAGAGCCATCAGCAGGACCATATGACATCACATGAAGAAGGCACTTCGTGGATGACAGAGGGCTTTCCTGGCTGGCTGTTCCTCTAACACCCTGCAATTGGGGAGAGTCTCCTTACTGTGGGCTTCAGAGCTGGGGCTAGCAAGGGGAATCACACTCGGTTCTCTGCCCCTGCTGCCAGCTTCGAAGGTCTGGGACTCTGCTGGCTAGTGGCCAAGAACTCTCCTGGAAGCCCAGCCACTCCTAGGGCTAACAATGCAAAATGCCCATGCGGAGGAGATGTGGATAGCCAGAAACAGGAGGTGAGCAGCTGAAGGGCCAGAGGATCTTCAAGCCCCGTTCCAACCCATAATGGCCAGCTGGGAAAGTGCTCACATTGCCAGGGCTTCTGATCTTCTAAGAGAAGGTAGACATCCAGCCAAGTTTTAAAATGCGCTTCCTCCTCCTCCCCCCTGCTCCTCCTCCTCCTGCTCCTCCTCCCCCTCCATCTTCCCATCCCTTCCCACTCTGTTCCCCCCCCCCTTCTTTCCTGTGGTGAGTGTGTCAGGTGTCTTTCTCCATCTTGTTCCATTGAACCGGAAACTCTCTGGACTGGCTCACTAGCAAACCCCACGATTCTCTTTCACCTTTCCAAGAATTACCAGTTCATGGGAAGATCAGAAAACAGGCTTTCAGGCTTGCATAGCTAACACTTCACCCACAGAGCCATCCTCCCAGCCCCTTAAAATGCAGTTTTTTAAATGCAACCAGTTTAGCAGTAGTGTGAACATGGGGCGGGAGTAGTTTAGCTTAGATGGTGGTTAGGATCTGAATTATGTTATTGTTGTCCTTGAACTTTGACAGGGACATGCCCATGCCATGTTAAGTATGTAGGTACATGCCCAAGTGCTCCTATTTTCAGCAAGGAAACATTCCAGGGCTATGGGATTCTCCAAATGATGTGTGTGCCTATGTAGACACACACAAAGATAGATTGTCCCCAAGTTGGTCAGCCAGCTCCATCTTCTCACGTGTATTAGTATGAAAATTGAAAGGAAGGCCCACAGGTGTCTAAAGTATGACATTACATGTGACGGTGGGGCCCTGCTCCTGTGTGTTGATGCCCATGTATGTGGGCTCCCATGCCCGCCGGGTCTGCGCCCTCCAAAGGCCGTGTAGCAGAGGGCAAGGCTGCTTCCTGAGATGCTCCTGAGGGGTGGCATTGTCCACAAGGGAGCGTGGTGGTGGCGGTAGCAGCAAAGAAGAGGAGGCGCCTGCGCGCTAAGGAGGCAGGAGGCGCAGAGCACCCGCAGGGCTGGCCTGGCGAGCTGGAAAAACCCGGGTGTCCGTTCTGCTTCCAGGTCCCGGTTGTCCCCTCTGTCCCCAATCCCGCAAGTGGAGCAGTGGGGAGGAAATGGGAGGGAACAGAGAAGAGCTGGCGGTGTGGCAGCTGCACCCTGGGCGCTGCGGGAGGGAGGAGGGCGGCGCGCAGCCGCGGCCATTAGTCACCAGATGTCACCTTCTGCTGCCAAGGCGGCGGCTGGCTCAGACAATGGCCGCGCGGTGGAGGGGCGGGCCCAGCCAACCCCAAAGCCTCGCCTCTGCTGACACCTACTGCCCTAGGATCACACTCCCAGGCTGCCCGACCCTGGGGCTCTTTGCTGGGGCCGTTCCCTTGCCTGGCCTCAGCACCTGTCCCCTCCCGGTATCTGCAGAATTGTGTCATTTTTCCAGGATGTGATGCTGGCGTCACCTCCTGCGTTTCCTGCCTGCCTTCCTGCCCCTCCTCCAATTTCAGAACCCTGTGTCTCAACGTACACAACAGTCTTGACTACAGAATGGGCTGTGTGTGGCACAGCAGGGACCCCCATTTTTCTGCCCTGTGGAGAGTGCCTGGTACTCAGAGTTCTGATCTGCAGCGCTGTAAGATGAAGTTCATCTCCACCGTGGTGCATTTGGTCCCATGCAGGAAAAAAAAAAAATTGTTTCCCTTACCGAAGAAATCCAACCAGGGAATGGCTAATTTTTTTTTTTTTTTTTTTTTTTTTATTCTTGGGCACAGATCCTTCCTTCTAAAAAAAGAAAAGAAAAAGAAAACTGAAAGGGAGTCTTACAGTCTTATAGTGGTGGCTAGCATAGTGAGAGACCTTTTGTGATCATGTTTAATATGCCCAGACAAGTGCATAGCATCCCCAAATCCTGGAGGGCTAATGTTGAGACCACTAGGATGTAGATGCAGTCCATGCTGAGACCATGAGGATGCAGTCCCAGGCTCCTCCCTCCCAACCACTCTCTGAATCTAGAAGAGCAGGAAGTAAACGTGTTAAGCTCTGTCAGCCAAGCATGCATCTGATACTGGATTTTTGTTTTTATAAACCTTTCAAAATGCAAACATTATTCTTAGCTCAGGGACCATACAAAACCAAGGACTAGACAGGATTGCCACCCCCCTGTGCCTACCCATAGCCCACCTGCCCATACTTGCAGCATTCAGAGAAGAAACTCAGCTAGGCAGCATGCTGGGGTCAGGGACAGTCAGAACCACCCAGGTTGGAGTCCCAGTTTGTCCCTGGGAAGCTCATGACCTTGACCAAGCGTCGGGGGTACATGGAAACAGCGTTGGAATAGCCTTGAAGGTCTGCTGGAGACGCATGTGTTTCTACCACTTATCCCTTATTGCACTTGTCCAGTGCTAAACACAAGTCGAGTACACACACTGGACAAGCAAGAGAAAGCTGAGCTACAGCCACAGGAAAGCAAATCACCTGTCCCAGATAGGCAGGAGACAAAATTCCAGCTCCTCCCTTACCTGGCTGTGTGACCCTCAGTAAAATAAAACATCTCTCTGAGCCTCTGCTTCTCCCATTAGAAACGATGTATCAGTTAGTAGCTTTCTCCTGGCATGCTCAGGGTGGCTGGTTGTCCTTGCCTGGGGAAGTCACATCACACCATTCCTGATATATGACAAACCAAAGGGGATCGCGTCATTGCAGCTGTTGCGATGTGAACTCTCCATTATGGGGAGCAGACCCCTTAGAAGAGGTAGAGAGTCTCAGCAGTATACCCAGGACAGATGAGGGGATGATGGTGATGTAGTCAGGGAGCACTGCCTGGAGGAGGAACCAGGATAACCTTGTCTCATCATGGAGCCACTAGTCTCCTTGGGTCAGGGAAACAGTCAAAGTGGAAAGGAGTGACTTTGGAGCCATGTTGTCCTTGCTTGGGAACAAGAACCCCAAGAAACAGGGACAGAGAAGCTCATCTGTTTCTATGCCAGCCAGGATTGGGCCAGTTGGAGTCTTGTTGACATAAACATCCTTACGGGAAGTACAGTACCCTTTATTACAAAGGTCATTCTCTCTTGGTAGAAAATACAGATGAGTCAGACAGAGACAAGTGACGTCACCACCACCCCCACAAAGCTCCCAAACATACCCAGCAAAGTTCTACTTGGGCCTAGGAAGTCCCCTGTCTTCCTTCATGTTTTGCTTTCCAGGTAACAACTGTGAACCTGGGGGCCTTCGCTGCTCAGGGCTAAGACACCTCCACTTGAAAACTGAGCCCCATGGCTTGAGATGGTCAAAAGATTTGCTGTCTGCTCACCTGTCTCCAGCCACCTCTGCTACATAAGCTCCCTGCCTCTCTCCTCACGTATTTCATAGGATCTGAGCATTTTCACACATAGATGGGTAGATGGTGGATAGGTAGGTAATAGATGGATAGATAGATAGATAGATAGATAGATAGATAGATAGATAGATAGGCAGACAGCATCCATAAGACAGAAGCAAGAGAACTGCTAAGGTTAAGGCCAGCTTGGGCTGCATAAGATCTTGTAGCATGAGACCTTGACTCAAAAACAATATTAAAAAATAAGTTAATATATGACTATATGCATATAGAATATTTATATTTATATATAATACAAATATTTTTGGCGGTACTAGGGGTTAAGCCTAGGGTCTGTACATGCTAGGCAAGTGTTCTGCCACCAGGTCTTGTTTTGTTGTTGTTGTGTTTTCTTTTGGTCAAGACAGGATATCCCTAAGTTGTCCAGGCTAGCCTCAAACTTGCTATCTTCCTTCCACAGCCTCTCAAGTATCTGGACTGCAGGTATGTGCCATCACACCTTGCATGATGTTCTATTAGGTTTCAATTTTAAAGTCTGTTTTCTGGGCAATGGGGTCTATAAAATGATGTGTGCCCTGAACCCTAGAACTCCTCCTGGTACCTGAATTTGGGTTCTGAGATGAGGCCAAAGACCTGTATGATCAACTCAAAAAAAAAATAATAATAATAATAATAATAATAATAATTCAAATTTGTATGCCTAGAAAAGCAGGTCCAGATGCCACCACCTGGGCCCAAGGCTCCTGACATACTGTGTGACCATGAACAAGCAGGCAGAGTTGGGCTGGGTGTGCAATTGTAGACCATATATCCAGACCTGCATCGTGTCAGCAGCCAGGAAATCAGAGGAGGCTTGGACAGGTCTTGTCCATGGTGACCATCTATAGAATGTCTGTGCCAGCTGTGTCCACGCAGAACCCGACTGTGGTCACACGTCCCAATGTCATGGCATGCTTCTTCTGTCCCCTCAGTTATTCTCCCTTGAGTAGGTGAATGAGAGCCTCTGGAAAGGTCAAGGACTCCAGGCTGCCCATATCACCAGCAGGCTGAAGAAGCTCACGGAACAAGCGCAAAGATCCAAAGGCACAAGCAACAAGAAGAAGTGAGTGTTAGGATGCATGGCAAACACTACCGGGAGGCTCTGACTGGGGCCTGCTTTCTGATGACCTCAGCCCTCCTCAAGGACTAGGGTCAAGGATCTAGAGCCAAAGTGCTTTGATGGGGGTTCCTTCTCAGAGTGGCCTCTGTGCTCCCTTCCAATACTGATGGCCTGCCAGTCACCCTCTGCCACCCAAGCCAGGGACCACTTAGGAGAAGAAGGGAGTCTCTCAGAGAATGCTAGCACTACCCAGATCTACAGGAGAACCAGCTCCTTCTCTTTAGCTTTTCTTTTAAAAGTGATGTTCATTAAAAGAACTTTTTTCAAAAGTAATTTGGAGTATATACATAACACAAAGAATAGGAATTTTTGAATTGGGACTGGAGAGATGGCTCAGAGGTTAAGGGCGCTGGCTGCTCCTCCAAAGGTCCTGAGTTCAATTCCCAGCAACCACATGGTGGCTCACAACCATCTGCAATGAGATCTGGTGCCCTCTTCTGGCCTGCAGGGATGTGTGCAGGCAGAACACTATATACAAAATAAATAAATTAAAAAAAAAAAAAAAGGAATTTTTGAATTGCTCTTTGTATCTCATCACCGAAAACAAAGATACTATTTTGTGTTTATTTTCGAGGCTCTGTGCATTATACATTATGCATGTAGATCTATACTTTCCACAAA